CTTGAGGACAGTTCTGTCAGAGATGATCCAGGCGTACACAATTTTGCATTTAAACAAAAGTACAGAAGACATCTGACTTTTCAGACCTATTTCCCCTTTCACTCTATTAAAAAAAAAAAAAAAAAGTGGAAAATTATTTTACTTAGAATAGCCTTAAGGAAAAAAAATAAACCAAACCCCCAAAACAGCAAATCCCAAACCAAAACCACGTGCAAAATAAAATCTACCTATTTTGGAAGGAAAATTTTGTGAAGATGAAAACTTTGTTTTCTGTGTCCAGGTGAGATAGATACATTAAGTACGTCTCTCTAGATTTTTAAATTAAAACTGTATATTTTTAAAATGCTGTTAAAAAATAATATGCTTTTTTGTATTAATAATTTGTACTTACAACTGCTGGAATTTATAATTTTTTTTTTTCCCCAGCTAGAAGATACTCAGGCATTCCACAAAAAATTGAATCAAGATAAACTTTTACATACTCCTGAGTTTGTTATCGAGCCTCGTTCTCACACTGTCTGGGAAAAGCAAAATGTCAAATTTCATTGTTCAGTTGCTGGCTGGCCAGCACCCCGTGTTACATGGTAAGTTTGTATCTCTATCACTGAAAGTCACCACATAAACAATATCTGAAGTCATCTCAGTGAATGTTGTATATTTTCAGGAAAGATACCAGTTCAATATAAAAAATCAGGTACAGAGGCCTGTCAAACACCTTTCAAGTCACCTTGTACTAAAAGAAGGCAAAATATTACAAGGCAAAATAATACTTTGTGTAACAACAATATGAATACATAGATTTTTTTTCATAATCACATTCCATGTATTCTTTCTGTCTGCTGATGAAATAAAAATAGCACTTTCATTTATTGTCAGTACTACCCTTAAAATAATGTTTTCCTAACACTTCTGTTTAGTCTACAAATGCCGTTAATGTCTCTGAAGCAGTAAAGCCTGTCTTGGGCTGCTGAGCAGTTATAGTACTGAATCTCCATGAAACTGAAATCTCATGATGCAGGGTGTTCATAGGAGACACATCATAATTATTTGAAGTCAAAGACCACAGACACATCCAGTACCACCCAAATCTTCTGAAAGCTCTGGCATCTATTGGAAACTTTCTATTGATCTGAATGGTCTTTGGACTAAATCTTTAATCTAAGAAGTCCAAAATATACTCTTAGTCATAGCTGAAGGTCTAATTTGACTCTTGGGTGAAAGTTTATCCTGACTGGAAGTGAATCTAGCTTAATTAACAGTGACTTGTGAAGCTTTACTGTCTCACCATCTATCGAGCAGACCTTTCTTACCTGTTTCATGCTACACAGATACCATCAAATTGTTAAGAAAATTGGTAATAACTTTTTTTTCAAACATAAAATGAGATTTGATGCTCATTATTTAATTTAAAATATTCTTCTAGAATGTGTATATAAAATGTATGAATGTGTTTATAAAATGAGCAAAGAATAAGACTGCGTTCAGCATTTAGCGTTAATTAGGAATAGGTCCTATGAGATTCTGTTTGTGAAGACAACAGAAAACATCTACTCTGTCATGATGTTAAGTAATACTCACATTTGGCAATTTATGACTTGAATTTCTTAATGGACTCTGTGGTTTTTTAGGTCTTAAAAACCTTAATCTCAGGGCTTGATAAGAAGTGCTACCAAGAGGTACATTAACAGGCCAGATCTGATGTCCATGAAGTGACTTGACAATGACAACTGAGAGCCAGGCTCTGCATGGACACATTTTTCCCGTTGTGTAAGGGTTGAGAGTGCCCTGTTTTGACATTCCTCTTAGAGAAGATTCCAGACAAATCCTTCATGCCTGGTCTCAGCTGGACATAAGGAATGGTCAGCTACCCTCATGGCTGTAATCCAGCTCTGTAACCTGAATCCTAACCAAGAAGGCGAGAGCAGGGACATTTTCACTTTAGTTGAGATCCACCTTATCCCAAAAACCTGACGTAGTTAAACCAAGCCTTCAGCTGTCTGCCTTGGCTCCCACTGTGAACCAGCCTTTCATCTAAGTGCTAAATGCGGATGGTGGAAATTAATACATCATTTTACCGTACATCTGAATTCCAAAGGGATTTCTCTTCACCACAGGTACTAATGGAAAAAAAAAAAAAAAATAGAGTTCACAGCCATTTCATCAGGTGTTTTTGCTCGGAGATACGGAACAGCGCTGACCTGGATCTGTCAGCTCTCATTCAGCATTTCTAATGAAATATCAGTCATGTATTCCAAACAGTCATTCTTTGTATAAGAAATGGAGACCTTCTCATGCTGTGCATGATAAATTACAAAGCTTCACAAACTTTCTCTAAAGAAAACCTTACTGTGCGATGCAGCTGTTCTGACTCCCTTGGAAAAAGCATGTGGAAAACTCAGGACATTTGAAACCAGCAGCAGAAAGCATAAACTATCAGTCCATAATGACAGTGGGAGATTGCAGTCCAACATTAGCTAATGACTTGGCTGTTCTGGAATTTGCGTTTCCAGAAATAACAAGTGGTCCTTCTAACACGAGCCCTATTCTTTCAATAGATGAATATAAATAAGTGAAAATTGAATCAATTATTTTTTACTAACCTGATAATAAAGACAAGAGAAGTGAAAGTCTTCCTTCTGCTGCTTGACTCAGCTCGTTTCTGCACAGCACTGCATGCTACTGCCCTTGCTGCCAACAGGATCCAAGGGTCATCCAACCCTTTGGACAAAAGTTAAAGAGATGATGGTGCCAAATCTCTTTTCACAGGATTTCATATTCCACAACACTGAAATTGTTGAAAGGCAATTTTCAGATTTACTGTGGATATAGCTTCATCTTGAGACATATTAAACCAGTAATATTCTTGGTGAAAATAAAATGGCTTATTACTGACTTGTTTGGTGAAGTGGGGCATGCCACTTGCAGCACAGCAGTTCCCTTTCCTGAATGAAAATCATGAGAGAAACTGACCTTTAAAATCCAAAATGAAGAAGAAAAACTATTTGGCTGGATATCTGTCATGACTTATGAAGAGAAAGGCTTATTTAAGCTACATCAAAGTAAGAGATGAAGATACTTTTGTCTATCATCATTTGTATTTCCACTTCCCTTATATACACACCTTAAGGAGTACAGGGAATGCTGTGCTAAAGGAGGACATTATCTTAGGGAACATTCTTTCTTTATAGACCTCATATCAATCCCAAATGTATTGAACACAATTTGGTGTTTAATTTTATTAGATGCCAATTTCCAGTTTGTTCCATATTAATAGTATTCACCTAAGACAGGAATCACTTGAACTTTTGTTTGGTTACACCATATATTGTGCAGAATGAGTGACTTTTTATGCAATGATTGGTGAGAAAGAATCTATTGTGAACCATTGAACTCTCCCTCCATGAGTCTCAAGTTTTTTACATAAATTCTGAAATTAGCAGTGCCAGCCCACTGCTGAGCAGTACTGATTCCTTCAAATTACTTACTAGGAATTTTGAACAGTAACTTTTTCCTACCTGAAGGTATACCTGTACCAGAAAACACACCTAGTTTATGCTTGTAAAGGCAGAGAAGTTTTCAGTAGTACAGCTTTTGCCAGATCCCTTGCTGCAATGCACTTTACCATCAAGACAGGGTTTTTTTACCAGTTTAACCCTATTTGAATTAGGGCTTCTGCCAACCTAGCTGTGCAAATAATAAAAAAGAGTTAATTTTCTACTTGAAAATTTTGTGAGTATGCAGGCTTTAAAAGTAGATGAAATATGCAAACCAACCAAAATGTGTATGATACCTAGTACGTAAGGATGTTATAGAATTTTCATTGTATGTAATTCATAAACTGAGATGTTGCTCATGTGACTCCTTGATTCCTTTACAGCCAGTAACCTGAAATTCGTGGTAATATAAGTTGGTTTTCACCCTGTTCAATACTATTTTTTCCTCTTAATTAAAAAGTAAAATTCACCTGGGGCAGGACAGTGAGAGAGAGAGAGGTTGAGCTTCTCTGAATAATGTCTCTTCAGGAAATTAGACGGCAGTTTATCTAGGAGTAACATGCAGAAATACAAGAAAACTTGTCTTTCAAACACCAAGCACTTGACCTTTTAATGTATATAACCATACACTTCTGTTTAATGACATAATGTTTCTTTGCTTTTCCATAGGTATAAAAACAATGTGCCCATCAATGTACAGACTCATCCTGGGAAGTATAAAATTGAGAGTCGATATGGGCTGCACTCGCTGGAGATTAGCACGTAAGGGAATACTAGATAATTTAATAAATAGCTTAAGATGAAATGTTGTTACAGATTGAGACCTGCAAAATTTGAACATATCTCTTGGGGATGTAAGAGATATCAAGTGTGTACAGCTGGGGTGAATGCTATCTACTAAATGTTGGAGCAGTTCTGGCTTTCCTCAGTAGAGGATATGCAATTTACCTAAGTGAGTAATTTATCTGGATTATTATTCTATTTATGGCTGAGTCAGAAACATGTGGGACATTTGTGATTACTTTTTCCATTTGTCTGCTGCATGAGGACAGTTGAACATGAGAAAAATGTAGCTCAGGGTAAAAATATGTTAGTTAACTGTTTTTCAAATATAGCAAAGTTCCTGGTTCTTACTGAAATGAGGAACAGAAATGTGATATCCGCACTTACACACAAGAAAGATCTTTAACAGTACTCATCCTCCAAACGGGAAATTTCTGCAGTCACTTTGCATTAAACAACATTGATAACATGAGACCTAATCACTTAATTTGACAATCAGCAACAATCCAGATTTGAGAATTTGGATATTGGTAGTTGCCCTTCAAAAATATTTTATATGTACCATTTCTATAGCTTCCACATTAGATGTCTTTCCATAGGAGAGAGTAATTTAGAGATAACTTAGATAAACATTATGACAGTTTTTCCTACTTCTATTGAATTTTCAATTTCAAATCTGTAAGTGACATTTGAAAAGAGACTTGTATTCCAAAGACTGGATTTTTAGTATTGAGAAAAACTTAATGGCAACAATCAGTCCAGTGTGTCTGTTTCCCAACCTTTTCATATTTATAGATTTTATGCAGATTTCTGGGGGTTTTGTTTGATCTAAAACCTAGGAGAGGGTATACTAAGATGTAAACAAGTGCTATGCCTAATGATTTCTGTTGTTTTAGATGTGATTTTGATGACACTGCTCAGTATCGGGCCTCTGCTATGAATGTTAAAGGAGAAATTTCAGCTTATGCTTCCCTTGTGGTAAAGAGTAGGTTTGCAAAATATTTCCTTCTTTTCTTCTTTTTTTTTAAGATGCACATTACCAATTTCATTTTGGTGGCTCAGAGGGCCTTTGCCTCTTGGTGATAGTGACTGGAGTTGCTCTTTTTCTGTCTAGGGTACAAAGGAGAAATCGATGCAAGTCTTTTGCATGCTGGAACTGTTTCCATGCCTGTGGGCTGTAAGTTGCAATATATATATTTGTTTGACACATCCATTTACAATTGTGACATCATGACAAATGACTAAGCCTAAGATTTTGTAACGTTATTTAAAAAAGAAAGCAGGTCTGATTTACAAAGGTACTGAGCTCTACAATTTCAGATAGTGTTAGTCTCACTCACAGGGGAAAATGGCATTGCTTTCTGGGTTTGTGACTATTTGCTTATATAAGAAACATCTTTTTAATATTGCTCTTGGCTGCAAAATAAAATCTGTCAAAGAGACAGACAATTCATCTCTTGTGATATGTAAAACATGGTCTGGAAAAAAGCTAGGGGGTGCATGTGCGTGAGCGAAGTATTTGACTTAATCGTTCTTTTCTGCTGCTATGTGATTCCACACGTCCCAAAAACATGTAGAAAATATCAGAATCCAATTTGAATATTTTGGATATATCAAGGTACACATTGTAGTTTGTTTTACCTGAGACCCTCATGTTTTGCAGTGGTTTACAGTATTGCATAGATACTTCCATGATGAGAAACGTTAAGATAATCCACCCACATATGCGATGTGTGTGAAGTGCCCTAGGGTTCCTGCGCATGGAAGTTTGACAGATGAGACTTACGGACATTTCTTTTATTGTTGCAGCCCAAACAGAATCAGGGATATGCTGCAAAGGCATACTAGATGTCAGTTATGTACCGAAGCTCTGAAATAATAGAAACAAGATTATGCTCCATATTACAAAATGCCACAAGTTACCAATATAATTTGGGATTTGTCACTTGGCAAAGGGAAAGGAAGATTATGACTTGTATATATTTATTGATCACAGGAGGAATGTGAGCTACCAGTGTAGGGTAGTTGTGGAAAAGGAAAATGTGACCCTAGATTTTATCAGCTGAGCTGTTTTCAAAAGAAATATGGAAACCTCTGTGCCATGTATGTGCAGCAGGTATAAGGCACTTAGCATGTTCTGTCTGGAATACTGCATAAGTTGGGTGACACAACATCAGAAAAGGTAAACTTGGAGCAAGTACGGAAACAGGCTACTTTGAAAGGAAGGAAACAGGCTACTCTTTTTATATTAAAGGATCCACCAAAAGGCTTATTTAGCTTATAGAAATGAAGGTTGAGTGGACACGTGACTCCCTTGAGATGGAGAAGGGAGTTAGGG